AGTTTGAACTCTTTAATACCTATTAAGACGGGGAACACCACCCTAAGATTTCAGCTGTCTAGCTTCTCAGAACCCCGAGTTATGAATTTACGCGGAAAGAATTTTGGAGAGGCCCGTACGTGGGTACCACGCTTACCCGGGGACTGGATTTGAGCTCATTAGCACCTGTGTGCACGGGAAATATTACCCTAAGATTTCAGCTTTCTAGCATCTCAGAACCCCGGGTTATGAATTTGCGCGGGAAAAAATTTGGGGGGCCCGTACGGGGGTACCACGCTTACCCGGGGGCTGGATTTGAGCTCATTAGCACCTACCTGGACGGGAAACATTCGCATAAAATTTCACCCTCTAGCTTTTCTGGTTCGCGAGTTAGCAGCTTACCCGTAAAAAACTTTGGCGGGGTTTTACGTGGGTACCACGCGGGAAAGACCGCGTAAAAAACTTTGGCGGGGTTTTACGTGGATACCACGCGGGAAAGACCGCCCATTTTGGGGATAGGAGCCCGTAGGGGGCCCGTACGCGGGTACCACGCGGGTTTTGGCGCCAATTTTGGGGATGGGGGCTCGAACGTGCTCAGATTAAGTCCCCAAAGTTTCTACCCCGTAGCTTTTGCCGGTCTCGAGATGAAAAATCGGTACAGACGCGCAGCGCACACACAGACACACACACAGACAACCTCTCGTCAATATGCGTTTTTCGCATTGCATTGATGCAAAAAGCGCATAAAAAACTGCCAGTTAATAAGACGAGAAAAATCTGATGGGCGTGGATATGAATTTGTTGAATTTCATGTGCAAAGAATGTAAAACGTCCAAATTTTGCCTGTCTCTCATTTCGTGATCACACACACACATACACACAGACTTCCAAACATAACCAAATACAAATGCTTACATATATATGCACAGAGGTAAAATATACAAACACACATATGCGCACACACAAAGTAAACATGGAAACATACACAAAAACACACACACACTTAAATACCTATACAAACACCAAAACACATAAACATGCACAAAAATATACGCACAAACACACACACACACATACGTACATACTGAAGCATACGCAAAAACATAAAGAGACGCACAACCACATATACACAAGCAAGCTTATACAAAAGCGTGTAGACGTCCACTCATATGCACACACACGCACACACACT